ATAGAATCTTATTTTATTTTAATACCTCAAAGTCGCTGCCAGTTGTTTGAACATTGCACCACCTGGCGATCGGCTCTGGTACCACCTCCCAGTCCGCGCTCTCCTGCTCCAAGAGGCGAACAAAGGTAGATTTGCCTGCCGCTGAACGCAAAAGAAGCACAAATTAAAGTTCACTCGTGTCATATAGCGTACTGCATCGACCTAGCTATGCGTCACACAGGTGCAATGCCGTTTAATATTTTCTTAGAAGAAGAATAGTCTAGTAGCAAATTGGCGGCAAAAGTAGTACATTAGGAGTACATCGTCTGAAGCTGTATACTGTTACACACAGGTACCCCGAGCAGCACCTGACATCCATCTGCGGACATTAAACCTTTACACTGAACTTTTTGTTTTGTCAAATGTGACTTTTGCAATAAGCTGCAGCACTCACCGATGTTCCCCTCGATAGAAATCCGCTTTATTCTCTTCTCCATCGAGTCGTTCATTGGGTCTGGGCATGGCCTTTTTGGAGTAAAAGACATCTTCGCAAAAATTATTAAATATTTTTAAAATGATCTTTAAAATATTCCTTAGGATGTTGCGGCAGCTGCTAGGATGTCAGCTTGTTGTTTTAGATTTCGCGCTCAACGTTAGGAAGCGGAAGTTAGCGCAGCCGTGTATCCGCCCCGGAAGCAGCTGTTGCTTACGTCAGTAATTAAAAGAAGAAGAAGAAACAAATGTAACTCCCAATTCATTCAGAAATGTTTAACAAATGAGCTGTCACGACTTTCAAGTACTAAATTATGAAGTCTGTCACGTATGGATGCGTAAACACGAGTTCAATGTTGTAACTGGTGAGCCGTGCAACTGTTTTTATGCTGATATCTACAATAATGTAGTCCAACAGTATTTTCAAATATCTAATTTCATTGTATTTTATATGTAAAATTTGTTTAGTATAAAAAAATACACACGTTTTTAGTAAAAAGGTTCAAAATATTTCTCTGAACTGCATTAAAGACGCAATGTGAGGTATAAGTGGGTGGAACCAGAGTCCACGAATAAGTCAGTCAGCGGATCGATCTAAATACCAATAATATCGATAAGAACGCTGGTATTGGTATCAGACTGATGGTTTGTTTCTGTGCTCCAAGTTCAATATTTAGCCCATTGAACTGTATTATATATTTTTTTATTCTTTTGGCAGTGAAAAAACCCCATCAAACACGCTATGAAAATTGTCTGAACCCTTTCGTGTTGATTGCCACATCTATTTTATTAAATCATGACACATTGCTCTCCTCTACATAAACTGCCTTTATAGACCGCAAGACTGTCCCTGTATGTACTTTGCATGAGACTGATAACAAACTTGCAGCATCGCACAGCATTTACGTGAGCAGTGCAGGTCAATTTAGAGACTTGGGGCTATTTAAGTTTTATTAGATGTCTTCTTTCATTGAGAACATTGTACTATAGTTTAAATGCAGTTATTCCATGTTACACACCTTGACTGAATAGCTTGTATAACCACTCTTAGCAGCAATAACTTGAAGCAATCTTTTTCTTATGACTTTATCATTCGCTCATGTTGTTGTGGAGGCATTTTGGCCCACTCTTCTTTACGACCTTGCTTCCGTTCAGCGAGATTTGTAGACATTTATTTACATTTATTCACAGTTCTCTTAACGCCTCTCAACAGCATCGCAGTCAGGTTGAGGTCTGGACTTTGACTGGGCCATTGCAGCACCTTGATTCTTTCCTGTTTCAATAATTGTACTGCTGAGCTTGGGATCATCATCTGGCTGCACAGCCTCACATATTACTCCAGAATACTTCAGTATTCAGGGATGTTCTTGGTCAACTCAATGACTGGAAGGAGCCCAGGTCCTGTGCTGAAAAACAGCCACAAGACCAGGGCACCTTGATAAAGAGTAAAGTGTGTCTTATTGGATAAAACACATATTGACAAAGGAAGTGATAAATTGCAGTACACATTACTGCAATACTATTATTGCTATTGCACAATAATGGTGCCATGTGATTTAAACATTTCACAAACTCAAAATACCTAACCGGGAAAGTTTCATTTTGATAATAGTTGGGTTTCTTTTATTTTCTTAAAGACAGACACACACAGACACGAAAAGCAGCATAAAGCAGTTAAAAAAAAAAAAAAAAGGTTACAACTGTACTTGAGTACAGTACTTTATTAAATGCTTTACTCTGATCACCAGTAGCGCTGAGCTCACAGTACATAATGAACATACAAGTTTTTCAAAGAGTCAAGCCCACCTTTATTTGCCTTATAAACAGCATAAATCAATTCAGTAGCATTGAAAACCCCTACCAAGCCTTTATTTACAGACAATTCACCAATTACTTCAGTCGAGGAGGAAAAACCATAGGCAACAGGCTATGTTTCGGGCATTTCATAAGGATGAGATGCTTGCAGGATGACCGATATTCTATTACATTTTCAGATATCTGGTGAGCAGTAACATTCATCATAATAAGCTAAGTAAGTTGGAAATGAGAAGATACTGAACAATCAAAACAAACAAGATTTTAATATCCAAAGAAAGGGAGAAGGAAGCAGCCTCTAAAAGGTATAAATGCACTCGTTTAACCAAAAACTATCACTCCATGCTTACTGAAACTTCCAAGACGTGTCTAACTCTCAGTATTTACACATGTGCGTTTATAAGTGTTATACCTCTGACAAATTTCAGATATAAAATATTCATGTCACCGTTCTTTTTTTTTTTTTTTTTTTTAACTTAACCTGACAGAAGCACTTCTGTATGCATCCTTCACCCAAACAGAAGACCTATAAAGAAATCTCAATATTGGATATAAAGTATGAATGAGCCAACTGGCATCCCCTTTTAGTGTCGTGTCAATTATTGCATAGTCAAAAACTACACTTTGCGATTGGAGAAAGGTACATGAATCTCCTCTTCGAATCACCACAACAACAAACCAGTCAAGAAAGAAAGCAATAAGAAGTCTCAATTGTGCCTTTCAGCTGATTTAAGAGGGAGTTAAATGAAATAAACTATGGTCAGTCACATGGTACAGCTTCTCCCAAAGCACAGCCAATCCATGTGGGGGTGGGGCATGGGGCAAGGAGGAAGAAAACATTCAAAAAATAGAGATCAGAAACACTGTTCAAAGTGCTTTACAGCCAGTATGATAACAAGGGATTCTGCTGTATCCAATTCATAATGCTAGCATGTCTCAAACAGTGGAGTCTAAACACAGATTTCTACATCTATTTCCCTACAATTTCGGGTTTTTCATCCCTTCAAAGTCCTTCTAAAACCTGTTACTATTTCAAAGTTTTTGAAGGGGAAAAACTAGTACACAGGGACATGTTACTAGACCATGCTACAAGATTCGTCATTTCTTAGTCCCTGCTACAGCATAACATCATTCTAGCTTCACTTCTATGTCCTTCACAACACATTCATGTATCATAGCCTGCACATTATAAAACTTGGCCAAAAGACTTTATAACTAAATAAAGTCGACGAGGAGCAGAAGAAATAAAGAAATAATTCTGAGCCAAGTTACAGGACACATAGGAAAAAAAAAAATAGGGGTGGGGGTGTAAGAAGCACAAACTTAAAAGGGACGTGGTGAGGAAAATTGAATGAATCAATCACATCAGTGTTATATGGCCTTTGATATACTAGGGCAATTATGAGCCATGCTAGGCACTTAGGATTCTTTTGTGACTGATGTTATGATATTACAGATGTGGACAGTAGCAAACCTAGATCAAATCAAATCAATGTTAAAATAAACCAATAATATTCAGTTATTTATCACACCACCCTATGATACAGCATCTCTGCTTAATCGCTACTCTCTTCTATGATGGAGCTGGAACCTAATAGTATGTTATCTTAAATTCAAGTGGGACAAAAACAAAACATCTGTGCAGTCAGGTAGAAAATTAATAAACATATATCCATCTTATCTTAAAGTAAGCCGTGATAGAATATAAGGGAAATTTCTTTTTTTCCCCCCATACAGCTAATGTTAATCTGTGGTTTGCTCAATTAACTTAATCCCTGATAGCATTAGTCCTGGTGCCTTTAACCTAACAACACCCTTCCTTCTTCCTGGCCTTATTAAAAACATTTCCCCAAATGGAAACGGTACATACTGCATACATATAGCCAGGGTGGGGGTGGGTGGGTATCTGTGCAAAAACTAGAAGAGCAATAAAATAAGGATTACAGGGCTGTTTATCTATCCTTGGTTGTCAGTTTTTCAATCAGCTCCTGTAGTGGGACCAACTCTTTCCTGTCAATGAGGTTGAACTCCTGTGAAAGACAAAAGAAAAAGGAGCAAGCATTACCCCATGACTCGACACGCTACAGCCCTTGTTAGCAACGTGCCGCATTAGTCAGATATCAGGGATTCTTTACCTGAACAAAAAAGATGAAGTGTTTGAATGATGTGTTGAGGTGGGCCTCCTCTTGGAGCTGCATGACGGAGTCAAAGTGCTGGTGGTAGATGTGGGCGTAGACCCTGAACAGACGCTTCAGAATGGTCTTCGCCACAGACATAAAATTACGCTTAAAGGGCACGCCTTGGGAACAAAAGAAAGAGAAGGAAAGTGTTTCGAAAAAACACCAGAGAGCTCGACATGCAGCTACATTACAGTCTGCCTGTGAAAATGCTGCAGTCTGCACAGGCAGGCCACAGCATGATCTTAGGGAAGCACAAAGAGTGATGAAAGCAACACAGCAACACCTCATGTTCACTGTGCCGAGGATTCATCTGCAGGAAAGAAAGTTTTAGTTTCAACAATAAACACTAAACTAAACTGCTGCAGAGCACAGAGGCTTCTACAGAGAGCCACCTACCGTACAAGTCAATATAGACACTAGGACGAGTAAATTAAAGCTTCAGATGCTGAACAAATGAATGCACGCTTATTGAGCCCCGAATTGATTTTAACATGTGTGCAATGGGTACTTCATCACAACACACACCTCCAAGGAACCTTGAAGATGCTGGCAGGTTTTGAGGTTATTTCTGGCCAAGTGAACAACAGATCATAGGCAATGGAGTGAATTGTGTACCTCCAGGGCAGCACACTCACCACTTCTACTAATATGTACTGGGTCTATCAGACTGCAGTTTATGCTGGCTGCCATTCAATAGCAATAAAACTCCACCTTAGACTGCACACGCCACAACTAGTTATGAGGCTGATAACTGTAGGTATGCAAATACTACCACTTAACAATCCTGTACACTGTCATCCAGGAAGATCTCTAAATGTGTTAGGTTATTACATAAAATTAAAAAAGACAAATGCACCGCTACATTTAAATAAGGAAAACTTGAAAAGTTCACATTTCTGCTAAGTTCATCATTTCTATTACTTGCATGCATTCATTTTGCGTGGGAGCTGGATTTCTCTGGTAATAAAAAAGGCTGTGCATGTATTCTGAATCTCCACACACCTTATTGTTTGATGTACGACATGTGCATTAAAACGATAACTTTTCTTAGGAGGTGAAGGCTGGTAGAAACTACAAAGTGAATCATACCGATCTTTGAAGGGAAAAGCGTCTCATCGTCGAGCTGGTCTTGCACCCAAGTCATGAGGTAATCAATATACTTGGGAGCAGAGCATTTGATGGGCTTCTTGATGTTGGTTCCATCAGCCCAGTGGTACTCATACCTACAGGAAATAACAATGAAAAACACACTGAGCACATTTATACCAAGAGGAATTTTTGGCTGACTCAAAAGAGAAGGAAGAAAATCCCGAGTGTTATAACAAAAGCTTAATTGAGCATAATGAATATTAATGTTAATCAAATTCTCAGAAATAGGAGAAAAATGATTTCTGCACATCTAATGCACACATAATCGTGTGTTTTGTTTGTTAATAGGTGGATCTTTAAACGTAAACTTCTGTATATTAAATGAAAGGTATGTTATCATGCGATTGTTTTATTAGTATGGCCCAGCTGAGATCAAACTGGCCTGTGTGGCTCAGTAACTACAAGCACTAATCACGCTTATGCGAGCAGTCCCTAGCCAGAGGCCCATTCTGAGCAAGGAAAAACCCCGTTATGGTCTCCATCTGGACTTATTCAACACTGATGTAATCAACTGTAGCAAAGTGGTCTTTCTCAATAAGCAGATAATATACAAGTGGTCCTGGTTCGAGTAAGAGTTGATGCTAGTCACCAAACATTTTCTAATAGGCGTTTTTTCCTTTGTAGAATTAAATCTAAATTTTTATCAGCACATAAAAGACATCTGCTGCAAATCTACCGTGACAGCGGGAGTCCAAAACAAAAAGATCTATGTCACAGGGTGTATACGATTATGAAGACAAGTGCATTTTCCAAATCCTGACCCTGCTCAGTCTCGTCACACAACAAAGACTGAAGAATAGCCCATGGGCTAGTTTTAATCACTTACTTAGGACCAGCAGACATGACTGGACAGCTTTCCTCAGTGCAAAAATCTGTGATGGTGCCATACAGCATGTTGATCTGGTTGAAGAAGTCCACAGCTGGAAAAATGTGAAATAAAGAAAAACATTAAAATTGTGTTTAGGCAGCTTGTTTTCATTTGTAGTGCATCACACACTCCTGTGTTAGTGATTTGCAGAAGGCCTCCTTTCACCTCTACTCTGTAGTTATAATAGTGAACCAACCACTCACATGTGCACACTTGCTAAACAAACTTGATACCCCCAAATATAATTTTCAGAGTCTAAACTTAACCAGCATGTGAAAGTGGGAGGCAAAAAA